TTAGAAACATTAGCTGATGTCCTTGCTGGGGGCCAGGTGATCTGAATGTGGTGATCCGAGTGCTTTGGGATGCGGGACCTGAATGACCCAACCTCTAGTTGTTCTTTAAATAAACCATGTTCTTGCTTGTCCCTGAGCCTTTGCAAACTGGAGTGGTAAGAAGAGCATGGATTTAACTGCCTCTTAGATCTACATTAAGGTCCCACCTCATTCTTCGTCTATTTATGTGATCATTATTTGACCATGAAATGCAAGGGCTTGAGTACTACAGCAGAGACAGGTGAAACCAACACAGAAGAGGTGAGATACAAAATACATAGTTCAGCAAAAATATGTTTCATCCACATAAAAGTTTGTCCCCCCATAGCTGGTTCTGCACATGTAATGCCATCACTGACACTCACCTCTGTTGCAGACTCGAGTTGTGACAGATTCCTTGGTCCGTATACTAATCACCTCTCAGTAGATGCCTGCTAGCCAGTCAGGGACACATTGTGTCAGTTATGGAAATGGTGAGGTTTTTGTGTCAGAAGATGCTTATAGGATACAGGGTTAATTTTTACTTTAACAGATGGACAAAAGAGGTCACCTTCTATATTTAATCCTGATAATTAGATTGGATATACAGAAATAAAATCCATGAGCAAAGTTCACCACTAAACTATCTGGGGATGCTGTGTGTGACTTAATAGGAAGGAAAGGAAACTCACCCAAAGACTACATTTGATAATATCACATATTTGCAATAAAATCCTTTTTATGGAAAAGTTCTAAAGGGAGTTTTTCTTTTCTTCTTTTTTGCTTCTGTTTTCTTTGTTTTTTAAAGTTTATGTACCACACTACTTTTTATATTTTACCAGAAATAAATATTTCTAAGCATCTCTTATCACTGGACATCATCGATTTTCATTTTTGTGTGATGGCTTACAGGGTGAAATTATAGAGTATTTCAAGATTTGTTGATCCCACAGACTTTGTTTTTCTCTAAATAAAAAATAAACTTAAAATGTTCGGCTAACTCAACCTGAATGCCATATTGTTTACTTTTAATGAAAAAAACCATGTACTTTCCACATTTACGTTTGTCTGAAATGACACTGTTTAGTGATAGAGAGGCATTTAGTTTCAATATTACTGATTTTTTTCTCATCGAAACTCTTGGAAAAAGACAACTACATTGCTAATCATATCATTTTCTTTTCTGAGGTATATGAATTATATACCTCAGATTACCTCTAATAATCTCTACCACCAAAAGATTAGATTTAGAACATTGCTTTTGTTATTTAATTTAGAGTTCTGTTTTCTTGTCTGTTTCTAGACATTAAGACTCCTGAAATAATTTCAAAAAACCTTATAACACATTTTATTTTCTTAATAATGCAGAAATGCAGGAGAATCCATTAAACCATTAATCTTTGGACTGGGTTCAGTACATTATATTTTGTAAATGTTAATTTCTTATGTAAGTGTTGTATTCTGGGATATGGTCACCAGCAAAGTTAGTATCTAGTACAACTTCATGTAATATGCTGGGAATAAATTTAACACATGAAGTTCTTTATCAAGGTTTTCTTTTATCGTTCTCCTTTTGTGTGTGTGTGTGTGTGTCCAGTTAACACTTCACTGTCTGCAGTGATAGACACCAGCGCTGTGCTCCACTGCCCTCGTACATTGACAAGAGCCGTGCTAACAAGATGGGAAATAATCCTCAGGGACAAGCCTTCCTGCACAAAAGCCTACAGGAGCGACACAAATGAGATCCAGGATACCAACTGTACTGATGACAGAATAACCTGGGCCTCCATCCCCAGTCAGAATCCTGACCTTCACATTGCTCCAGTGGCCATCACTCATGATGGGAATTACAGGTGTGTGACGGTGACAGCTGATGGGAATTTCAATCACGAGTATCACCTCCAAGTGTTGGGTAAGGAACGTCATATGCTGTGTTATTTCACGTTACCAGATTTGTGACTGAAAATAATGTCTCCATAAATTCCATATCCCTTATGTGAAGACTGAAGCATGTTTCCCTTGCATCTCTGCAGTTCCCCCGGAAGTGAGCCTGTTTCTCAGCAGGAATAGAGCTGCGGTGTGCAGGGCAGTAGCGGGGAAGCCAGCTGCACACATCTCCTGGACCCCAGAGGGGGGTGCTTGTGTCACGGAGCAAGAACGCTGGGGCAATGGCACGGTGACTGTCCAGAGTACATGCCACTGGGAGGGCCCCGATGTGACTACTGTGACCTGCTCTGTCTCCCATCTGACTGGCAACAGGAGTCTGTTCATAGAGCTGCTTCCTGGTTAGTAAATCTCCTAGTTTTTTCTTTGAGTTTTTTCATTCTTTCTTAGGAGTTAGAAGGAAAACAGAATGTGCAGAGAAATTTTGTTCAAGGATGCTTTCTCTAGCCTCCACTTTATCTCCCTTTACCCCACAATAAAGAGATATGTTTAAAAGAAAAATACAGCAATTTGTTGTAAAAAGGGCCCCGGTGTGACCACTGTGACCTGCTCTGTCTCCCATCTGACTGGCAACAGGAGTCTGTTCATAGAGCTGAATCCAGGTTAGTGCTTGTTTCTTTTAGAAGAGCAAACTTGATGTTCAAATTTTCTTTCGTAGAAGATTATGAATAACCAAACACAGGGTAAGACAATTTCAGCTTCTAATTTGAAAATATTATCTAAAACTGAGAAATGCATTGGTATGCTAGAGAAATAATTTTTACTCCTTTACCAAATAGGAGAAATTTATTTAATAATTGCTTACTGATACTTCTCTACCTTTTAATGAGGCAGCCATAAAAATCTGTTTTGCTAACTTAGTGATCTGTAGGCTCTTACTTTGACATTATTATCTTTATAAAATATCAATACTTTTGTATAGTTTTAACAGTACTCATTCACTAGATAGCCAAAATTGACATTTATTCCCTTCCTGATTTTCTATTTCTTATCGTAGCCATCACATGTTGTAGCACGTGTCAATACTTTCACATGTATTCTTTGTTTTTCCTGACTAACCTACCATCAAGTCTAAATTCTTACTTTCTACTTCTTATCTCTAGACCTATGGAATTATTGCCAGTATTACCTGACTCTTCCTTCTATAGAATATTCAACCTATACTCTAAGTCTTTTTTCTCTTCTGTATCCTTAAAATCTTTACTTCATTAATTGTCCTCCCTCCTTTGTTTAGTATTTTCTGTTCCTTAAATGATTTCCCTAAAGCTACTAGTATAAACATGACTATTTTTCACCCATGTTTAAAAACTAGATGCTATAACTTCCTCAAACTCTTAGCTCTTGCCTTCTACTCATATCCAAGATGTTTTCTAAAGAGGAATCTATACTTACTATTTCTTCTTGTCACCTGACATTTATTCTTTAACCCATTTGCATATCCCTGCACAGAAAATGCTGACAAAAGGCCTAGAGAGCTCCCAGATTTATATGTCAAATAAAATTTTTTATTCTTTGTTAGCTTTATTAGATTATGTGTAATATTTTTATAAATATTATTTTAAAATATGCAATATTTAATAATACTTAATAGTGGATACTTTAAAATAATATTTAATCCTTTTTAATATTTAATAAATTAGCTTGTTTATAACATTTGATATGGTTTCTCTCGCTTGCCTTGTGTTTTCCTCTTATTTTCACTTGGTTCTCTTCTTGACTTTCAGTCAACTTTTTAGTTTTCTTAAATAGATTCCTTTTATTTTGTCATACCACAAATGAAGGCATTTCTTTGGGTTTTGTCTTTGTTCTTTTTCCTTTACCTCTCTTCCTCGAGTAATTTCATGTATACCTACAGCTTAAACCACTGCCTAAGTCTTTACTGTCAAATCTGTATTTTTGCCCAGATTTTTTTTCTTTGGCTACATAATGATCAAAACCAACTTTCAACTTGACAGCTTCACCTACATGCACCAAGGGCAACTGAACTTACATATATCTGTAACGGAGTTCTCCTTCTTTACCCCTTCATGAGTTCTACAGTTATATTTTATATCTTGATAAATGACTCAAGCCAGAAACTTAAAAATATCCTACGACATTTCTCTTTCTTATTCCTCATATTCAAAACCAGTCACTATGTTTTGTCGAATTGGCCTTTAAAGCCTTTCTTTAATCTGGGTCTTTCTTTTTCCTCCCACTACCTTAGTTGATCACATAATATTTATCACTAGGACTTGTGTCTCACTGTTTTCCAGCCTGCACCCCATGCATGTGGGCCTCTTTGGGTTCTTCAAATGTTTTTACATGTGATTTCTACCTCCCCACAATACATTTCTTTCATTGTACTTTCTTTTGCTGTATTTGATCAATTCTTATTGACTATTTAAAAGATATTTATTGATTTATTTATAGAGATGGTGTTCTTGCTATGTTGCTCAGGCTAGACTCAAACTCCTGGGCTCAAAGGATCCTCCTGTCTCAGCCTCTTGAGTAGCTGGGACTACAGGTGTGCACCATTGTGCCCAGCTGAAGTTTTAAAACTTAGTGTGCTTGTGGAGGGAGGGGAGCAAGGGCATTATATGCAACCTTAAAATTTGTACCCTCATAATATGCCGAAATTAAAAAAAATCTTAGGTGGGAAAAAAGCAGGGCACAAAAGTTATATGTATATCAGAATTATGACTATCAATAAATCAAGAAGTGATATCTAAAAAAAACACAAAACACACAAACAAACAAAAAAACTTAGTGTGACATTGGTCCTCTGGGATGATTTTCCCTTGCCCTGAAGTTTGGTTAGCTGTTCTGCCTGTGTGCTCACAAAATGCTTCATGCAGGCCTCTGTCAGAGTACTTCCACAGCGTGTAATTGAATGCTCTCCATTGTTTTCTCTCATGACACTTCTGACACCAAATATGTGTGGGGTTATTTTCCCCACACCAACCCATTCTCCAACTCTCCAGACACCAACTGGGTGTCCTACAATTCAATTTAATTCTGACATTAACTACCTGGGGTTAGCATAGGCTCTGTCCCACAAGACCTCCCCCATTTCAGACACCAGTCACAAATCCCAGGTCACCACCTATACTTCTAACCAACTGGCTGTAAATTCACACAGTCCCCTTGTCATGTTCAAAAATTTCCTAGAATGGTTCACAGAACTCAGGAAGGCACTTTAGTACTACTGGTTTGTTACAAAGGATAGAACTCAGGAACAGCCAAGTGGAAGAGATGCATAAGGTATGGAGGAAGGAGCTTCCATGCTATATCCAGGAGTGCCACCCTCCTAGCTCCTTGATGTGTTCACCAGCTCAGAAGGTCTCCCAACCCCATAACTCACCCAACTCTGTCATTTAGGGTTTTTATGGAGGCTCCATTGCATAGGCACGATTGATTAAGTCACTGGATCTTGGTGATTAGCTCAATCTCCAGCCCCCTTCCCTCCCAAGAGGTTCATAGAGAAGGTGGGTAATGTGTAGGCTGAAAGTCCCAACTCTCTAATCACACCTTGGTCTTCCTGGTGATCAGCCCCATTCTGAATCTCTCTAGGGGCTCTCAGCTCCTATGCTCCAAATATGACTTAGGTTAACCCATCTTCAAATCTTTTCTCAAGTTGTTCCTTTACTTTGAAAAGCCCTTCCTTTTTCTTTTAATCTATTTAATCTTACAGACCAGCAAGGCTCAGTTCAAATCCCACATCTCCCTGGTCTCGCAGTTGGAGTTGATTAACCTTTCTTATTCCTTAAGATGATTTATAACCTGTAATGTTTACTTAGAACTGTTTGCTCTCTTGTAAGTTATCTTTTCATTTGTGTGGGTCTGACTTCTCCAGTTGGATTGTGAGCTTTTCGAGGACTCTAATCATGTTATCTTCTTATTCCCTCACAGTGCCCAGGAGATTGTCTGATATTCTTCTAGTTTAGTCTTTGACTTGGTTATTTAATGGGTTGAAATGACCTCTTGGAGCCAAGAGTTAGACTTGTATTTAGAGTTCACGTGCTCTTTAGGCTGCTGTTTTCATAGGAGAAAAGACTTCAGAATGATGCACCTAATTAATTTCATTTATCTTTTCAACAATTCTCAGGGCTATTTCTCAGATAAACAGAATGAAAGTAGGAAGACACATAAAACACTTTGCTAAGGGGTTACATCGGCTCAGTGACAAAATCACTTCACTGTGCAGAAAGTGTTATCAGATCATGCCCAAAATATTAAAAAAATAATGTCCTTCAAAAAAACTAATATTTTCATGGAAGTCAGAAAATCAATTTTTCTTATAAAATTGGGAAGTATTAGCAATGCTTGCTGTGCATTTATTCGTTCAGAAAATATTTCTTGAAAACCTACCATGTACAAAACACAGAAGTGGTTTCTAAACTCTGTTATGAAAGAACGATACATTACTAACCTTCAAATTATAATTTAGAAGGTTTTATGATTATGACAGTCTGTGAACTTTCAGGAATAGTTAAAAATGTGCTTTTAAACTATTGACTCTAATTTGTTAATTACAAGAATCTCTAAAATGATTTTTGTTATTTCTGCTTTTATTTAAAGGTCTCACAACCTCCAGATCTCCAGCATTGTCCTTACTAATTATTCTCTATGCGAAACTCTCTCTTTTTGTGGTAATTCTGGTCGTCGTGGGATTTGTTTTCTTCTGGGAGATAAATGATTGCAGGTAGGAACTAGAGACCGGAAAGTATAAGACTCATTTGAAAGAAAACATTATTGTTAAGACTTTGAGTTTATAATGTACGGAGAGAAGCTTTACACCTATTTTGGTATGTTGTGATTTTCCCTCAGCCCCTTCTATAACAAAGGCTTTGTCAGCAACGGAGAGCCCAGGCAGAGGGCCCCATAGCACTGCGGCAAGAACTTCTGCTCCATTGCAGTTTTGATCTAGGAGACACCTGGCCTAACTCACACCTTGATAATTCAGTGGGGAAAAGGAAGCTGCTGGGACTTCTCAAGTGTTTACTTCCAAATTTCTTTGCTGAGGGCTTATGTTCACCCCTGCTTAATTACATATTTTATATTTTATTCCTAGGGAATGAAAATCTAAAGAGTTGGAAGTCAATTTGGACTTGAGGAGACATCACATTTGCAGTCAGACTTCATGTTCAAGGTCTAGCGTCACTGCTCCTGTGACTCTTTGATGCCTTCAAGTTCAGGAGAATCATGTGATAGTTTGCAAGGCCTGTTTCAAACTCTTAGCACACAATTTAATACCATTGCAAAACTTAGCATCTGGCATCATGAATGGCTAGGGTGATTTATCCACTTTCCCCTTTACCTTAGTTCTTATTTGCAGAGTGAAACAACGCTACTTCTCCAACTAAAGAGGAAGATAGCTCAACAAAAGGCAAATACTGCTGGGCAGTTTTTCTACTCACCTTGGGTTCTTTGGTTCCTCTGCTCACTTGAGATAGTAATCAAGTTGCAATGGCAGGAACCACACAAACACCATCTTCAAGTTGGTCAGTGGTTGACCTTTCATCTCTTTCTTGCTTGCTAGAGATTAGTGGGGCAGTTGAATGGCATGTTTGGACTGATCGTTGAGCACATGGCTAGGAGTCATTTTTAGTAGTACTTGCATTTTAGCAGAAATTATAAGTTGATCCTAACTAAGGAACTGTCAGGTTCATTGGAGACAACACTAAAGTTCCCCTTACCTTTGAGCTCCAATGCCTTGACTCTCTTGTCTACATTCTAGGATGCAGAGGTTGAGATGGATTAATGATGGTAAGAGTAAAATATTGGTAAAAGCCTACTATTGTCTATGGCCACTGTGAACAGAGACCCTGTCTATACTTGATACAGATGGTAATGCTATAGTTAAAAACAGCCCTTTTATTTAAAAGAAGACATTTCTTATGTTAAGTAGCACGTGATTTGGGCTGTTACTTACTTTTATTTTTAACAAAAATCTAAGGAAGAAAATGAATGCATAATATTGGAGGATATTATATACACATGTTAGTTTAATTGTTGGTACAAACAGGCCCCAAATTTTAGTGTATTTATACCACTATGACTTAATTCTTATATCATACTCCAGTGCAGTTGGTGAGGCAGGAGCAGAGGGCTAGAGGGGTGTTGATCTCCAGTTCAGATGGTAAGTAGGAAACAAGAGAGAAAATGGAGGATTTTATGTGGGAGGTTTTTATGGGCTAGGCCTGGAGTAGCATTCACTTCTGCTCACATTCCACTTGGTAGTACTCAGTTACATGGCTATCCTAACTTCTACAAAGACTGGAAATTGTAGTCTAACTGCCTTGGAAGAAAAGGAATCAGGTTTGGTGCACATCTACCCAGTCTCTGCTCATAGTAAAGAATATGACAAATACTAAGATTAATACTTACTCTTTCAGTAATTGAACATGAGTCAAGATATAATTAAATTAGTAAATAATGCCATATTTATAAAAGATATAAGCTCTTTTGTCTCTTTCTATTTTGTTATAATTCTTTCATGTTTAAGAAAGGACATAGAATGGGAAGTTCAGTAATACACAGACTAAAAAATACTGTGTCAGAAATTACTAATTGCCTGGCCCACTGCTCATCCTTCCCTTTCTTCTTCTTCTTCTTTTTTTTTTTTTTTTTGAGACAGAGTCTCGCTTTGTTGCCCAGGCTAGAGTGAGTGCTGTGGCGTCAGCCTAGCTCACAGCAACCTCAAACTCCTGGGCTCAAGCAATCCTCCTGCCTCAGCCTCCCAGGTAGCTGGGACTACAGGCATACGCCACCATGCCTGGCTAATTTTTTCTATATATATATTAGTTGGCCAATTAATTTCTTTCTATTTATAGTAGAGACGGGGTCTTGCTCTTGCTTAGGCTGGTTTTGAACTCCTGACCTTGAGCAATCCGCCCGCCTCGGCCTCCCAGAGTGCTAGGATTATAGGCGTGAGCCACCGCGCCCGGCCCTTCCCTTTCTTCTTATAGCAGATGATTATATTCATAACTCTGAATATTTCCCAACCATGTAATTTTTCAGTTGGCTTCAGAGTTCTTTTCATACAGTGGGTACATATGTATCCACCCCACATAATTTGCTTTGGTCAATAAAATGAGGCAGAAGTGATAGTGGGCCAGCTGTGAGCACAGGCCCCAGAGATCCTGCATATTTCTGCTTGTTACTCCACGAGGACAAGCCTGGCCCAGCCAGGTGGAGGATGAGAACCACACAGAGCAGAGCTGAGTGACCTCAGTCCGACCCCGCCTCCCCATTGAGCCCAGCCTGGATGATCCAATAGTCAGCCACCCCCTGAACACATGAGGACGCGCAGTCAAGATCAGCAGACCTGACCCCTGGTTGATCCCAGACATATGAACAACTGTTGCCACAGAGGTTTTGACACAGGAAAGTGACTCCTGATGCTGGGAGCCACTTGAAGTCAAAGTGGGTCCTTGGCTTCAGGCAAGAAAACATTCAGGAGCCAGCCAGCAGTATAAAGCTAAAGCAGGATTTATTCAGAAACTATAGAAAGTCTACTCCACAGACAGAGCAGAGGCTAGTTGTCCCTGCAGAAGAGGACTGGCCCTCTGGCTCCCATTGCCTAAGAAAAGGCTTAATTATAGCTAAATAAGAGGAGAAATGTTCATGGAGGGGTGGTGTTTCCTGGGATCAGGATGACACCCTCTTGTCCTCCATTATCTTGGTTCCAACGGGTTGAAACTTGCCCTGCTTCCATCCTGTTTTATTCAGGGTAGTTTGAAACTTTGTTTTGAGACTTGCTGACCCAGGCAATGCTGCAGCAAAGCCCAAAGCAATGGCCAAGGCGATGCCTAAAGCAGTACCTGCCAGTTCCCTGTCTCAATTTTGTGGTTGTTTATTACACAACAATATTGTAGCCTTAGGTAATTAATTCCCTGTCTCAGTTTTGTGGTTGTTTGTTGCACAACGTTATTGAAGTCTTAGGTAACTGATACATTGCTTAATAACATGACTCCAATTTTATTTATTTGGGGAATATTCTCAGCTCAAAGGTATTTCTCACTTTGCCTTACAGTTGTGTATGACCACCTACTTAAGTTTTGGCAAATGAGATACAAGCATAAACCTTATTGATATTTTCAGGGAAACTCTTTAAAGAGAAAGAAAGGATACTCTTTTGAGTTTCTTTCTTATCTCATGGACTGCAACAGTGAGGTGACTGGAGGGCCAGTAGCCGGCTTGAACATTGAGGATGGAAGCCACTCACTAAGATGAAAGAAAACATGGATGGAAGGACCCTGGGCCTGATGACCTTGGAGTTGCCCTCCAAGCTCTTGACCACCTACTTACCCATTGACTTCTTTTGTGTGAGACAGAATAAACTATTTTATCCATGCCACCATTAGTTTGAGGATTTTATTGTACATACAGCTGAACTCAATCCTAATTGATACGAATACCTAGTTTGTTAATTTGAAGGTTTGCCGCCAATCTTGCAACAGCAAGTTATGTTCTACTTGCGCATTTTCATGGCCTATTTTTGTTCTTTCCTTAGAGACAATAAAACAGTTGTCCTAGTCACGTCTTGTTATGGTATATTTTCATTCCTCCTGTAGAAGTAATGAAATGGACATAATTTCAGAAGATAGGAACCCCAGGTATGAGATCCATCTCTGAAAATGCCAGGAGAATTGTTGGTTATATAAACACAAGGGATACTGTAGGCTTGAGGTGGGAAAGGGCTTTGGAATCTGGAGGTGCTCAAAAATTATCCAACAGTGTGTTGGTCCCTAGAAACGTGAGCACACGTCTGCATTACAGGATTGGGAAGATAAACATACTGTTGTGGACTCTTAGAGAGGATATGAGCAGGAGAAACAGAGGAACTGAAATCTATGGGACTTTACTGCATTAATTTTTTCCCCCACTGAATGGACTCTATTATTTCTAGAAGAGATTTATGTGAATTCATGCTACTTCTCTATCCCATTCTTATTGCCATAATTTTTTGGGTGATGTTAGATTAAAGAGTAAAAAGATACAGCTACCTCCTACCCCTATGCAAAGATGGAAAAAAAACACCCCCCATTTTTTTTCTGTATACACATATGTGTACATATACAGTTGAGCCTTGAACAATGTAGGAGTTAGAAGCACTGACCTCACCACACGCAGTCAGAAATCTGCACATAACTTTTGACTTCCCCAAAACTTAAATACTAATAGCCTACTGTTGACTAAAATCCTTACTTATGACATAGGCATTCAATTAACACATATTTTGTGTGTTATGTGTAACGTAGTGTATTCTTTCAATAAATTAAGCTAGAGTAAAGAAAATGGTAAGAAAATCATAGGGAGGAGAAGATATGTTTACTGTTCATTAAGTGGAAGTGAATCATCATAAAGGTCTTCATACTTATCTTCGTGTTGAGTAGGCTGAGGAAGAGTAGGAAGAGGAGGGGTTGGCCTTGCTGTCTCAGGGGTGGCAGAGACAGAAGAAAATCTGTGTAGAGGTGGGTCTGTGCATTCAAACCCATGCTGTTCCAGGGTCAGCTGTATACATGCGCAACAACTTAATTGTGGTTCTAAATTGAGGGAAATTGGGAGCAACTTTTAGCAAAACACAATTGAAAGCCACTAGATGGTGCTTCAACTTAACTCTTAACATTTTGAAGCAAACTAAGATCTGCTAAGATCTACTAATCTAAGCCAAAGTAATCCTGCATTTCTTTTTCTTTAATTTTTCATACAACTGCCTGTCCATTTACTAATTTTTTAGGTCTTCTTAGATGGTGGTTTTGCAACAATTACAGAAGAAGGAGAAAATGGTTTAACTCAAAATTAAGGAGAAAAAACTCTTTTCAGTCCTCAAACTTGAAGTGTACTGTAGTTTCACTTAATTTTAATAAAAACACTTTGTTTACTAAATAAGATAGAGTGGATATTAATAGTGTCATTTCAGAGAAAGGGGAAATGTGAGGCTATCTTAGTTGAACCAAGATTAATACTCACTTCTTAAACCAGAGAATTTGAGATTATCCAATTTCGAAAAACAAATAGCCATTTGTTTGTGTTCATGCTAGCAGATGGTTATAGCTACCACTAAAAGTAGCTGGCCTTCTCCTCCTCCTAGATCTTCTGCCATATCTCCTCCACTATCATCACTTGGAGGCATGCATGATATTCTAACTCTGGAAGGAAGCTACAGATAAATTAGGTTAGCTTCCTCATTTTACAAAAGAGGAAATTGCGATTCTCAGAGTTGAGTGGCCATCCGTTTTACTTAGAAGCGAGTTGGCTTACTTTGCTTGAGCCTGAGAGGAAGTCTGGCCCCGTAAGGCCACAGGTGGACATGGCACATCCAGAGGAAGAGAGCTGACCCTCTCTTCCTTGGACTTCCTCAGAGCCCCTCTCATGCTTCTGCTCTTGTCTGACTGGCCAAGGTCACATGCCAGTGCTTTATCCAATTTCTGGCAAAGGGACTGAGAGTAGGTTTATGTTGATTAGGCCTTTCGGGGAGGCAGAGTAGGTGCTAAGGTCAATACTTTTCATCAGACATGTGTCCTTGTGGGAGAGGAGTGAGTGGGAACCTGAAGAAAAATGGGGCTTTGTTAAGAAGGAGAACTGAAGAATGCACGTGAGGCCTTTATGAGGGAGACGATAATAGCAGAATTGAGTTTTATCAGAGGGATGAGAACACTGCAGGTGGACAAGGGCAGGGAAGAAAGGCATGCCACGAAGAGAGGACAGTACGGGAAAAGGCAGAGAGGTGTGACAGGGTGTGTCTCTTTCAAGGCAATGAAGAAACTGTCCATATCATCTCCTCCCACACATTTCACATTTCATGAAGTCATCTGAGGACAGGAGACAGCTATTCTCTTAAGAACGCCAGGAGAGTTTTGCAGAACCAGCATATCTTGATCAAGTTATAATGTTTTCTGAACAGAATGTCCAAGTCTTCACACTGATTCACCCAACACCGATTTTAAGGTCAAATAAGGAGCCAAGAACATTGGTTTACACAGAGTGGAGAACCAAATCTAGGCTAGGGAGCGGTGGTGCATCTGACGGACATATCCTTGCTCTCAGAAGGGCGGAGCTCAGTTTCTGAGCCTGGTAAAGCCAGCAGAGTCAACATACTTCCCCTTATTCTGGTTTCGCCTCATGTAATATGAAAATAATTCTTGCTCTTACCCCAGCAGAAGAGAGGGTTTTGAGGGTAATTTTTATATGTTTATAAGGGTCCTTGTGAAAGTACTATAGAAACACCAAGTCTTGTTATCTGTCCCACCTGCTTCCAAATGTCCCTCATGCACACATTGGTATATAGAACAAATCTGAGTGTATTTTTCACGAAAGCTTCTCTCCTACCTAAGCCACAGAGAGCCCATACAAGGAGACCGCAGACGCAGTTTCCCATTTCTAGCTGTGTCTTCCCCAGTCTAAAGCTCCCACACACCGAGGAGAGGGCTCTTTAGAGTATGGTAGTCACCAGGGAGGACAGGAGGGAGCATCTCTGCACATGTAGAGGGAGGCCATGGGGCTAATCAAGAGAATTTGAAAATTTATTATGAAGGAGAGAAAAAAAAAATTCACATGCTCACATTCAGAAAAAGTAAATTTAACAAGATACGCTAAAACAAAAGGAATCAT